CAAAATGCTGTTTTTGACAATCCTTTTCTATACAAATGTAATGGAGTCCAGTAAATTCTAAGTATTATTTTTTGTTGCATAAGTCGTAGTTTAAGGTCCATTGACACTCTTGTTATAGAAGACGCTCTCCCATTGTCTAGGCAATACAGAAACTTATATTTCATTATTCCACTCATCCCTTAACATCTGCATATCAAATTGATTTGTTGATAACAAATATCTATAAAAAGTAATAGTAGGTTTGTTAATTCTAAAGGATTTAACAAATTGTTCTAGTATCTCAGGTGTCTCAGAACCTGAGAATGCTGCTGGTCCAAACAATGTTGTTAACAAATGTTGCAGCTGTAAATATTGCCATTGGGATACCTTCGATAGATGATATTTATCTCTTAACACATCATATGTTAAAAATTCATCTTCATCATCTATCAGTTGGTCCAATGTCAATATCTCCGCTTCCACCCAGTTTCTGCATATCATCATGTTTTTCCTAATTTTTAAAGTTAGGTTTCCCTATGGGAACTCAATTTGGCATGGGGAAAAGGGTCAACTCTTTTTTTATTAGACAGTACATTCCATAGTTTTCTAATTGACGAAATTGTTTTCAGAGATATTAGAGTTCTGTTGTATTTAGATCCTAATACTGTCCATCCAACCAAAGGTGTTATATATGTGTATTCCAATGTTGCCCAGATCAGTAAATTGACACCAATTGTTGGCTTCCAGTATTCCACCAAAGTGCAAACTTAAAACAGAGCTGATGTGGATCTTCTGTGGCACTTAATTCCCTGATGCTTTGGTGAAGATGACTTCTACATCTGCATAGTTGTTTTCGCTCACTTGTTCCACTTCTCCCACCTCATCATCTTATAATAAGAGGTAAATTAAAAACAATGTTTTTTAAGTACATATCAGTCATTTTCTTTTCTTTTTGGAAAAAACATTTGTTCTGGATATTTTCTCATGCTATTTAAAATATCCATTTATTGCTTGCTCATATTATGATGGGTATGATGGTCAGTCTACATAATGCTTTTTGTTTTCCAGATGTGAAGAAATGATCAGAAAAAAGAAAAAGGAGGTGTACATTTTTAGAATTCTGTTTCTGAAATGTGGGTAGGAGAAGGAAACAAAGCTTGTGAACTTCCCATGTATGCTTTTTTATTATCTCCCTAGAACAGATACAGCAGGAAGAAGAATGAGGACACATCCTCCCAAATTGTACTTGATTCCAGATACAAAACTGGAGGACAAGAATCCCCTTCTTGAGGAGAAATATAGATCTGTAATTTCAAGAAGACAAAATAGAATATCTACTTACCTCTGCTGCGGGTAAAAAAAAAAACCTAGAAAAGCCATTTATTTTTTAGAATCTATAAAACTTGCCAGTCGTACCCTTGCCACTAAATACGCCAGGGTGAGGGTAGATCATTTGAAGGTTTTCTGAGTGCATAGACTTTGTGGTATAGCTGTCTGCTTTTGTCTATTTATTTTTCCAGATCCAGCAATAGAAAGAATAAATTATATTCAGAAATTCCATTACTAATCTGATTCATTTTTAAATAACTTTTCCCAGTCCTACTCAGTACAATTTTCTTAGATTCTCCTAAAAGCTTATTACATGATTACAAATTACAATTATATTTTACATTTCCCAAATCCCTTAAGGGTCAAGTGTGTGTGTGTGTGTGTGTGTGTGTGTGTGTGTTTTCTTAAAATGCCCTGCTTTGGTAGACATTCACAATATTAAAGTAATATCCTCTGGATGGAGTGTTTGAAATAGCAAGCATCTAACTTTCTATTGTTATTATTAGGCTTATCCCTATTATTAGGCAGGTAGGTTATTTTATGTAATAGCATTAGAATTTTTAAAAAATTATTTTAAGATGTGAAGAGATTTATACAGTCCTCTCCATTAATGTGACTTATTAACATAGTTGGATTGACAAGCCCTTCTCCCTCCCCTTGCAGACCTAATGTCTTTCTTTGCGTCTACAGGAGAAGTAAAGACAGTAACAAGGGGCCATTTGCTTGGGTTTGGACTAATGCTTCACCTTGTGCATTTCAAATTGCTGAAGTCTTTCCTGAATCATGGAGAAGTGATAAAACTGAACCAACACCTTATCTTGTTTAGGCCTTGACTTGCCTCCTCAATTCTGATTGCTGTGAACAATCACATTGTGAGCCTGTGATTTCAGTTTACGAGAAGGGGAGGTTGCTTTCATTCCTTGCTCAACCAAGGAATGTTGCTGTGAGGGAGGAAGCAGTTCTCTAGGGGAATTGAGATGTGTAGGGATAAACCTTTCTACGCTCTGAATTTATAATTTGTAAAGAAAAACTAGAAACATAACTGTATGCTACACAGTAAGCATAAAGTATTGCTTAATATTTAAAATGTGTAAACAGCTCGAATTTATTTGCTGTATCTAGTAATTTTCTCAAAAGGATTTTCCTATTCTGTGGAGGTTCCAGTCTGGATCTTCTAGAATAGGTTGAGGAGATGCCTGACAGGCAATGATGCTTGAAACTATGCAAACTGTTGTAATTCCTACACCATTCACCTGAGTTGGATGTACATACCCTCAAATTAAAGCTGACAGTCTGC